TACTAGATTATATTTTATTAATCACAAGAGAAAATTCCTCTAATGTTAACATGATCCAGATCCCTCATGTTAACATGATCCCTCACAGCTGCAATGGCCTGTGGAAGTACAGAGCTGTGGGGGCTATGGTGGTGGGTCAGAGGCATCTGTGACCATTTCCCCCCTCCTCCCAGTTCCCTCCTCCTGCTGGGACTGCTCCAAAAGAGCCACCGAGGAAAGTGGAGGAGGTTGCTGGGAAGCAGGTTCTTGCACAGATGAGAGATCTGGGGTTGAAGGAGATCTGGGGGCATGGGAGGTCCGGAGGGACAGCAGACTAGTGCTAGTCCTGCTCCATCACACTGGCACTGAGGGAGCTCTGCCCGGGGAGCAGAGGCAGGGACCCCAGCTTGCCCTGTAGGGCACAGAGCACTCCAGTGCCCCAGGGGTGCTCTCAGGTGCCCCAGATGTGTGCTCAGTGTCCCCCAGATGTGGGCTCGGTGTCCCCCAGATGTGGGCTCAGACCACAGGGTTACTACTGCCAGAGGGGTCTCAGGGGGTTCCTAATCTCCCCCGGTTCCAAGTGGGGCCCAGCTGTGGGCTCAGACCAGTTTGCCCACGGCAGGGTCCCCCTGGGTCCTGAGACTCCGGTGGGCAGATGCACTCACACCCCACCCCGCACACAGACACCCCCGCGCGGGTGGGGGCGGACGCTCCCCCCTCACACTCCCGCACACGGACACCCACACACCCCCGCGCTCACGGCCCCCGCACACGACCACGCTCCCCCGCAGCCGAAGGTGGGGACACAGACCCCCCCAGCCCCCCAGCACGCGGACACCCCCGCCCCGCCGCTCCCCGCACCCACCCCCGGGCGGACGCGCCGCCCCCCCGCGCCCTCCTCCTCCCGCAGCGCCGGGCAGTGGCACCGGGCAGCGGCACCGGGCACGGGCACCGGCACCGACAGCCGGACACCGACACGGGCACCGGGCACCGGCACCGGGCACCGGCACCGACACCCGGACACCGACAGCCGGACACCGACACGGGCACCGGGCACCGGCACCGGGCACCGGCACCGGCACTGACAGCCGGACACCGACACGGGCACCGGGCACCGGCACCGACAGCCGGACACCGACTCAGGCACCGGGCACCGGCACCGGCGGCAGCCCCGGCACAGGGCATAGGGCAGCGACAGCGACAGCTGGACACCGACACCGGCACCGGGCAGTAGGCAGCGGGCCGGGGGTGGGGGACGTTCCCACCATCACCACCGCAGCCGGGGGCGGCGGCGGGAGCGGGACCGGGATGGCCCCGGGGTGGAGGGGCGCGGGGAGGCACCGGCCTGACGGGGGTGGGGAAGAACCGACGCCCGGGTCTCCCCGGGCTCGAGGGATCAGCATAAGAAGGGGCCGCGGGGAGCTCTCGGACAGGGGGCTGCACCGCTGACGCCTTTGGTGGTACCGGGGGCGATGCCCCGGTGCGAGCACTGACCGCGGGTCAGGGGCTGCAGGGCACCCACGGAGGGCATGGGGGTATGGGGAAGGGCTGGGAGGCTTGTGCCCACCCCGGGGGGATTCTGGGGCCACCGGCTGCCCAGGGCCCCAGGAACGGCCTCAGAAGTGGGACAGGGAGCAGAGTGAAGAAGGAGCAGGGACTGGAGGGAAGCAGGAGAGAGAAGTCAGGGGCAGGAGGAGTGGGGGCCATTGAGAGCAGGGGGTGGGGGCAGCAGGAGCAGGGGGCAGTGGGGGGCAGTAGATGCAGGATGCAGTAGAAACACAGCAGACAGAATGACTGTGGCTGCTTCTCCTTCCCTCCAGCAGAGGGGAAGCAGAAATCCCAGCTCCAGCCCAAGAAGCCATGTGGGATGCTCACGCTGTCTCCAGGGGGCTTCATGCTGTGCCCTCCCAGACCTAGCAGGCCAGTGGAGACCATCAAGAGCTCTCTGATCTCTTCGGGAAACCAGTGCCTCTGGGCAGCTGTCTGCAGGAGGTGGGTGGATGTGGCTGGAGGGGCAGTGGGGTGCAGGGCAGTGCCTGTAGCGTGGCATCCCGGGAAGGCGGGGATGAAGCAGCAGGGCTCACCTCTCCACGGTTCCTCCTGCAGCCACCAGCCACTGCTGCCATCACCCAGCAGCGAGCAGCAGCCAGTGCCATGGATGAGGCGACAGAGCTAGAGCTGGGGAGCAACTCCCTCCTGAAGGCCGTGTGGCTCGGCCGGCTCCGGCTGACCCGGCTGCTGCTGGAAGGGGGGGCTTACATCAACGAGAGCAACGAGAAGGGGGAGACCGCCCTGATGGTGGCCTGCATCACCACCCACGTCGACCAGCAGAGCATTCACAAGGCCAAGATGGTGAAGTACCTGTTGGACAACAAAGCTGACCCCAACATCCAGGACAAGTCTGGGAAAACTGCCCTCATGCATGCCTGCATCCGTGGGGCCGGGGGGGAGGTGGTGTCCCTGCTGCTGGAGAGCGGGGCAGACCCCAGCCTAGAGGACCACTCAGGAGCCTCGGCACTGGTCCACGCCATCAATGCTGATGACAAGGCTGTGCTGCAGCACCTCCTGAATGCCTGCAGAGCCAAGGGGAAGGAAGTGATCATCATCACCATGGACACATCAGCCTCTGGCACTAAGACCACCAAGCAGTACCTGAATGTTCCCCCTGTGCTGGAGTTCAAAGAGAGAGCCCCCCCCGAGGTGGGTGCAGCACCCTCCGATGCCCACTTGAAAAATTCCATCTCAGCACCTTCACCTGAAGAGAAGGAGAGCAGCATTCTCACCCCACACAGTTCACACTCTGGAGACACTGGGGACACCGAGCCACCCTCCCCAGGCCAGAGAGCTGGTACTGCCCGGAAAGCCCAGCTGCGACGGCTGAAGCGGCTGCGCTCGGAGCCGTGGGGTCTGGTGGCACCCTCGGTGCTGGCGGCCTCTGCGCACCGCGATGACACGCATGTCTGTGCTGACGATGAGCTCATCATGGGCATTGGAGACCTCTCGCTCTCCAAAAAGACCCCCCTCACCCGGAGCAGCAGCAGCAAGGGCAGGGACCCCGCTCTCTTTCCTGCGGTGGATGAGCAGGCACCGGGGAAGCTGGCATGGAAAGCCAGCCACGAGAAGAGCCCGGCTGCACACCCGCGCCTGCCCCGCAGCAGCACGGTCCCAGAGGAGCCAGAGAGCACCGGCTCAGCCACCAGCTCGGCCACAGGGACGGACACTCTGCACTGGTGGAGGCCAGGCGCCGAGCACAATGGAGACCTCACTGAGATGGGGAAGGGGCCATCGGAGAGGAGGAAGCTGAGTGGATCCCACCTGGCCTTGCTGGATGGCTCACGAGAGTCTCCCTCCAGCAGTGCCGGCACGTCACCCAGCACCGTCCGGCGCCGACCGCCTGGCTTGCTGGAGAGGCGAGGATCCGGGACCCTGCTGCTGGACCACATCTCCCACACGAGGCCGGGATATCTGCCCCCGCTGAACGTGAACCCCAACCCCCCGATCCCCGACATCGGCTCCAGCAAAGCTCCCTCCCCGCTGGCTGCCGGGCTGAAGCCCCTGGTGCCCCTCGCACCCAGCTCGCCCAGGCGGGGCGACCTGAGAGCCCCCAGGAAGCTCCTCCGCAGACACTCCATGCAGGCAGAGCAGATGCGGCACCTCTCCGATTTTGAGGAGGTTGTGGCCCAGTAGCTGTGTCACCATTTTCTTCCCAAATCCATGCTGTCCCTGCAGAAATGGAACAGTCCCACATGGGACTGGCTCCGGGGACACACTGGTGGCCGCAGGGGTCAGACCCGAGCCCAGGGGCTGAATCAGGAACGACCAGCTGGGAGGCCAAACCCAGACCGTCTGAGATCGCCGGGCTCCGTGCCAAGGATCCCGTCTGCAGTTCCCTTATTCCTCACTAGTTACAATCCACTTTTCGTCCATTCCGCTCGTTCTGACACAGAATTCCCCACGGAGCCCACAGCAGTGATCTTTGGGGCCGAACGTTCATGAAGTGCCTTCCAGGAGGGGAAGGGGCTCAGCGGTGCGGGGGCTGGAGAAGTGGGAACACTTCCCCCGGCAACGGACCGTGTCGGTGCCCCCCCGGAGCGGGAGAGGGAGACAATCCTCCACCCCCGGGATTCCCGAGAGCTTCGGAGCTCCAGCAGCTGAGCTCACCCGGCACCGCGGTTCTGGACCGGGATGGTCTCGTCTCTGAAGCGCCTGAGGTTCAGGAGGTTCCTTGCCCACCCCTCCGAAAAGCTCTAAGCGCTGAATTCCCGGGCAGGGATTCAGGTCCCAGCCCGGCTGAATGGGAACCCTCTGCCGGCGGCGGGGGAGCCGGGATGCCAAGTAACCGAGGATGGCACGGGCTGACCTAAGGGGTTCATCTACCGGGAAAGTCGCAGGCGCCGCGCCACAGCCAGGACCCCGCTCTGCTGCCCACCCTGCACAGGGAGCGCTCCTCACCCCATGCCTCGTTCCACGCTCCGTGTGCCGTGGGCCGGCCGTGTGCTGTGGTTGCCGACAGATTCCATGATTCCATTAACGAATTTATTTACAGGAGTCCGTGTGTGTAGTGGTGCAGGGGCAGGTGCCGCGGTAACACCGTGTTCCTGCGGGGACTTTTTCACGATCGCTGCGTTAATAAAGCTTCGCCGTTGGATGGAGAGACTCATGGCGCAGGGATCCTGAGTCACCAGCCGGCTCGGGGGGTCTCCGGGAGCGCCGACGGGATCCCCGGGGGATTCCCGGAGTGGCCGGCGCAGAGATGCCGGGCGGTTCCCAGAGTGCCGGGGTCGCCTGGGGTGGTCCCGGGGTACCGGTGGGTGCCCGCCCCGGTGCCGGAGGTGCCGCCCCCGCCCCGCCCCGCCCGCAGCGGAAGCGCCACGTCAGGGGGGCGGATCTCGGGGGCGCTGCCGGTGCCGGTGCCGGTAGCGGTGCGGTGCCGGTGCCGGTGCGGTGCCGGTGGCGGTGTAGTGCCCCTGGCGGTGCGTATCGCGGTACCCATCGCGGTGCCCATCGCGGTGCCCGTGCGTGTCGCGATGCCGGGCGCGGTGCGTGGCGCGGTGCGTGGCGCGGTGCGCGCACTGTGCCTGGCCGCGTTCCTGGGCGCTCTGGGGACCGGCGGGACGGAGCTGACGCTGGAACTGCCCGACAGCGACCGGCGCTGCTTCCACCAGGAGCTGGAGAGCGGCATCAAGTTCACCCTCGACTACCAGGTACTGCCCTGACTGTGCCCTGCCGATACCCCCTTGCCGTGTACGTGCCCCTAACCTGCTTGCAGCCCTGCATGCGCCCTGCCTGCAGCCCATGCCCCTGCCAGCAACTCCCTGCCCATCTCTGCCTGCACCCCCCTTGTGCCCCATCCCAGTGCCCCTGCCTTTGTCTTGTCTATGCCGATGCCCCTGCCTGTGCCCCCTTGCCTGTGCCTTCCTGCCCACACCCCTGCCCATGTGTGTGCCTGTTGCCCCTGCCCATACCCCTGCCCCGAGCCCTGCAGAGCCTCATGCAGGACTGCAGTTCCCCCCTCCCGTGCGTATCCCAGTTCCCCTCGTGCTGCGCCAGGAGCTGTTCTCAGCCCCAGCCCTGTGATCAGCAGTGTCCACCTGGGAGCCAGGGCTGGGATGTGCCTACAGCAGCCATGGGAGTCCCTGACCTTGGCCCTGGGAGCTGGCCCTGTGTTCAGCCACCCTACCTGAGCTGCTGGCACCGGGGGGCACAGCTTCCCCAGGCTCCCCTGGCCTGGGCCCCATCCCGTGGGCACGGTGCCCACTGGCCTCTCAAACAGCTGTGGGGCCGGGCAGGGGCGGGGGGCCCTCGCCACGTCACAGGGCAGGTGCCACCTGTACCTCCCCGTGCAGGTGATCAGTGGGGGGCACTATGACGTAGACTGCTATGTGGAGGACCCCAACGGCAAGACCATCTACCAGGAGACCAAGAAGCAGTACGACAGCTTCTCACACCGCACCGAGGTTAAGGGTGTCTACACCTTCTGCTTCAGCAATGAGTTTTCCACCTTCTCACACAAAATCGTCTACTTCGACTTCCAGGTGGGCGATGAGCCGCCCATCCTACCCGACATGAACAACCGCGTCACTGCCCTGACACAGGTAGGTCTCGGGAGGGAGGGAGGGACAGAGAAAGGTCCTGCTGCAGCTCTCAAATGGCCTCACAGAACGGCAGTTGGAGGCTCATCCCCCTTCCCCTCCACCAGATGCAGAAGTGCCAACCGCCAGCCCAGAGCCCCACCACATCCTCTGCCTGGGACAGGGGCGCTCTGCTGGCTCTGGGCTCCCCCAGCTGCAGCACCCGCTGTCCATCCTGCAAGAGGGAATTGCATCAGCCATTCCATCCCTGGGTGTGAGCCCCTGGGCTGGGCACCCCGGTGCCCCAGCAGGGCTCTCGGCTCTGCCCCAGTGCAGAACTGCTCTGGGTGGGATCCGGCGGGGAACTGATGCCACAGGCACTGCTGTCCTGCTCTTGGGGCTCTGTCCTGCTCCCTCAGCCGTGCCATGTCAGGAGCGACGGGGCACCTTTGTCCTTGTCCCCCAGATGGAATCCGCCTGCGTCACCATCCACGAGATGCTGAACTCAGTGATCGACTCCCAGACCCACTACCGGCTGCGGGAGGCCCAGGACCGGAGCAGAGCCGAGGAGCTCAATGGCCGTGTCTCATACTGGTCAGTGGGGGAAACCATCATCCTCTTCGTGGTCAGCATCGGACAGGTGATGCTGCTCAAGAGCTTCTTCACCGAGAAGAGACCTGGCAGTGGCGGGACCAGCACCTAGAGCTGCTGTGTCTGTGCCTGAGCAGAGCGGGGAGCGGGCTGGCAGCGGCCCTGGGCTCGCGCTTTCCCTGCGGTCTATGCTGGAGGCGGGAGCAGGGGGTGACGCTGCTGAGCCGGGGGGACAGGGTGGACGTGGACACCCAAGTACAAGCATCCCCCCGCGTTACCTTCCACTTCCCATTGCCCACCTTGCTGCCCTGTCCCCTCGCCTGGCCGCCCTGTCCTCACTCTCTGGCTCTGCTGAGGAGCGGGTGGGTGCCCTGGACCAGTATCAGCACTGACACTGGGGGACCCTCAGAGCCCAACATGACTGCAGTGGCCACGAGCTGCCCCTCAGAGCCCTGCCTGGCCAGCGAGGGGATGGGGCAGCTCTGGCCCACCTGGTGCCCACCTAGTGCCACCAGCCCGAGGAGAGCTGCCCATGGGCTGGGAGTCTCTGTCTGCACCCCGATTGTCCCAGGGTGGATAGCACACTTCCAGCAGCGGAGCCACAGCAGCAGCAGCAGCATCCCAAGAGGGGAGATTTTTTGCTGGGTGGTCCTGGGCTCTACCAGCCCCTCCCCTCGAAGCATTTCTCAGGCCAGCAGTGTTTGGTTTGCCCCTACCAGATGGTATTTTCATACTCACACGAGTCCATACCTGGGACTCAGCCCCCCGCCCACCCCCCCACACCCTGCAGAGATGTGCCAAGGAAGCCCCATCCCTGCCCCAGCAGCATTGGGTACCCCCACTCCGTTGGAACTGCAGCCCCCTATTCCCTAGAGCCCCACAGAATGGACACCCCCAGGAGAGCCCTGGGGTGAGCCCCCTGTGCAAGAACACTGGTCTGTGCAAGACCCTTGGTGGCCTCCAGCCCTCAAGCAGGTGTGGGATCCCTCCCCAGGGCTGGAGCAACTCCACTGGCCTTTGCCACTTCCAAATAAATCCCTGCAAGCATGGCTAGCACTTCTGTTATTGGGCACCGCTCCTGCCTGCCTTCCTGCTTGACCTGCTGCCTGCCCCCTGCCTGCACCAGCCAAGCCTGCTCCTGGCCCGGGAGCAGAAGCTGGAGAGATCCCTCGGCAGGAGCAGCCCCACGAGCGCTGCCCCAGCGTGAGGCCACCCTGTCAGTGGTTTGGAATCGGCGTCCCACTGGGCAGGGGGGACCAAGGGCCTGAGGGAGCCCAGTACCCCACTGCAACGGAGCAGGGACCCCCAGGCAGAGCTCAGCTCTGTGGTCCCTTCCTCAAGGCCAGGGGGATGCCGTGGTCTGTCCCTCACCCAGGCATCACTCCTGGTGCCATGGGAAGGGCTCAGCTCAGGATGCAAGAAGGAGTAAGGGGCCCAGGCACCCACAGCCCCCTCCCAGCCCTGCAGGCGTCAGGAGCTGTGCCACCTCCAGTGTCAGCGCTGGCCTTGGAGCAGCTGCTGCGAGCAGGAGCACCAGCCCTGTGTGCCTCCCGACAGCCTTGGGCAGGAGCCAGGAGCTCCTGTTTGGAGCAGAGCCAATGGCAGCAGCACTCTGAGACTGCCACCAGCTCGATGTCACTGGCAGGGACCAGGCCCCCCACCCACTGGGACCAAGAGCCCTCCAGGGACGAACAGGGAGGGCAGTCCCCAGGCCAGCCTGCAGGTGCCCTTGAATCTGCTTCTTCCTGAGGACCCTTGAGCCCTCCTTGGTGGAGTCAGAGGCACCTGTGACCCCAGTGGGACAAGGCTTTGGGGACCCCAGCTCAGCTCCCAGACAAGGAACACAGGAGGGACTCGAGGTGGCCATAGGACACTTTATTGCTGTGTGGGGCACAGAGAGGGGAGAGGGAATGGGGGGCACCCCTGCCAGCCTTGAGCCCACAGAGATGCTTTGGGATGCATAAAGGAAGCGGCAGTGACCCCATCCCTGCTGGGCCTGTGCTGGCCTAGCCATCTGCTGCTGGACCCCCCTGCCCTGAGCACCCCAGGGGTTGTGTCGGTCTCACAGGGAGCTGCTGTGGCAGGTGGCATCCCCAGTGGCATCCCCGGTGGCATCCCCAGTGGCATCCCTGGTGGCATCCCCGGTGGCATCCCCGGTGACCCCTCGGGACCCTCGCGCCCCTGGGACTCCCCGCTTGGGTGGCAAGGAGGAGGCTGAGCAGTGGAAGGAGCCAGTGGCTGGAGAGGGGGGCTGGGTTGGGGGGCTGCGCCCACAGGGACAGCCCCAGCCTCCCCGAAGGGGGATGGTGAAGAGCCCGTAGGTGATGGGGTCCAGGCACGCGTTGAAGAGGCCAAAGATGAAAAGGATGTGTGTGAGGGCAGATGAGACCCTTTTCTCCACAGCGTGGGGACAGAACCAGTGCCAGAGCCCCAGCAGGTAGTAGGGTGTCCAGCAGAGGATGAAGGAGGAGACGATGACCAGGCTCATCCGCAGCATCCGCAGCCGGGCCCGGGGGATGTTGTTCCTGGAGCACCGCAGTGACGCGTCTCGCGAGGAGACTGGGGGGGCACAGCCTGTGAGGGGGAAATGTGGCTGGGACAGGGACCCCATACACTGGGAGAGGGTGAGGAGATCCCTACAGAGCCCCAGCCAGTGGGGGTCACATCCTGTGGTGCCCAGAACTCACAAAGGCCGGAGCCCATCCGGCGGGAGATCTCCAGCAGGATGCGGATGTAGCAGCAGACCATGATGAGCAGCGGCAGCAGGAAGAGGCAGGCAAAGCCCACCATGTTGTAGAGGGTCTCGTGCCACGGCTGGGGGAAGCTGCCACGTGTGGTGCACTGGGTGAAGTTGTGTGGGGGGCGCAGGGTGACTGTGCGGAACAGGAACAGCTGGAGATGAGAGAGGTGGGCCGGGGATGTTGGGGGTCTGCACCTCCCCAAGGAAGGGAGAGCATCAGAGGCCAAGGCAGGGACCCTCAGAGCCTGAGGGACAGGCACAGCCTGCCTGGTAGGACCCAACATCACCCCTCCATTGGCTCTGCTCCCAACTGCTGGTGGTCCAGAGGGCACCTCAGGGAGGGGGCAGAGCTGGGGGTCACTGCCACAGCCCCTCTGTTGACCCTCCTCCATCCCCATCACACGGAGCTCTCCAACCCCTCTCCATCCCCCTCCCACAGGGCTCTCCAACTCCTCTCTACCCCCGTCCTGCAGGTCACACAGTGGCACCGAGGCACTGACTGTGGCCGGTGTCAGCAGCCCCCCAGGAGGCAGCACAGGGGCTGGGGACAGCAGGGTCAGTACCTGTGGCACGGCCAGCCCCGCGCTGAGGATCCAGGCGACGTGCAGCATGGCGCGGTTGCGGGCGCGGGCGCGGGCGATGGCCAGCGGGCGCAGGATGGCGGCCTGCCGGTCCAGGCTGATGACCACGGTGACGAAGGCGGAGGCGTACATGGCCAGCAGCCGCAGGTACATGAGCAGGCGGCAGGCCAGGTCGCCCGCCCGCCACTGCAGCGTGATGTTCCAGATGGCGTCCAGCGGCATCACCGCCACCGTCACCAGCAGGTCGGCAGCGGCCAGGTGCTGCAGCAGCAGGCGGATGTGGGGGCGCCGGCCGCCCCCCCGGCCCCCCGCCACCCGCAGCACGGCCAGGTTGCAGCCGGCCGAGAGGGCAAAGAGGGTGAAGGTGATGGCCACGCGCGCCTGGGCGGCAGGGGAGAAGGTGGGCAGGCGCAGGGGCTCCTCGCCGTTCTCAGCCGGGGGGCTCCAGGCACAGCCCCGCTCGGAGGGCACGGTGCCGGGGGGCTCTGCGCTGGCGTTTCCCACTGTGGCATCTGGGTCTGCGTGGCCCCTTCCTGCCACAACTGCAAAGGGGCGGTGGCAGCCCTGAGGTGGGAGCTCCAAGGGGACAGGCCACGCTCAGCACTGGGGGTCCTGTCCCCCAGAGCCCCTGGACAAAGGGCCACAGTTCCAACACCACATTCCTGAGCCCAGCTCCATGTGTTCCATCCAGAGCTGCTCCCTGCATCCTGCTGCTGCTCCTCCAGAGGCCCCCCCCACATCTCCAGGGTACAGGGGTCCCTGGCACCAAGCAAGGCAGAGGGAGGCAGCCACAGCTGACCCCAACGCACTCCCCACCCCGGGCCATTCCTGCTGTCCCCATCCCCTGCCCAGAGTACAGTCCTGCCTAGGATAAAGACCCCCTTGCCCCATGCTGACCTGTGGGGGACCAGACATGCCATTTCCCCCACCTCACCTCCATCTGGGGTGTCTTGTCCAGCATCCCCCAGCCAGGCCATGGCAGGACCGGTGCTCATGTGCTGCCAGGGCTCTGCACCGAAGGCTCCCGCATCTGCCCTGGGGCCCGAGGGGGAGCGGGCTGGGGACCAGAGCGGGTACTGCTGCAGGTACTGCCAAGCACTGGTGCCTGCAGCTACTGCTGCCGGTGCCGTGAGGTGGGTGCCCTTGGCTGCCCGGAATGGTCCTTGACGTAGCCGGGAGCCTGGAACAGCACGGTCCTTCCCTGCCGCCCACGGTGCACAGACGTGTAATGTGCACGGTGCTCACACACAGGGACGGACAGCAGGACATGCCCCACACCTGTGGGATGGAGACCCCCAGCCCAAGGGGGGACCTGCTCCAGACCCCGGTCTGAGGGGTGCTGCCAGTGCCCCCCAGGTCTGGCACTGCTGCCGCCAGGGCCGGGCATTGGGTTGCACAGGGGCTCCTCATGTTGAGGTACAGCATTTGGGGGTGGCCCAGACATCCACAGGTCCCTCCTGCCAGCCCTGCCACTGCCAGCTGCTCCCTCCAGCTGTGGCCATCACCATGGCTGGAGTGTGTCCCAAGGTCCCTTCAGCCCTGGCTGGAGTGCATTGGGGCGGGGGGGGTGGGGGGATATGCAGCCTGGGAGAGGGTGGGGGGCCTGCTTTGCACCTCAAAGGTTTGCCCCCACATCCCCCTCCCCTCGGCAGAGGCATTTAACTTCATTATTGAGTCCTTTCACACTCCATGGGGCTCATTAATACCCCGTCCCCCACCCCAGACCCTGGCGTGGGGGGAGAGCCCCCCCCCCAACACATTAGCACCCGGCTGCTAGGTCCCACCACCGTCCTGCTAATGGGGATCCCAGACCTCGGGTGGCAATCAAGGGGCTGGGGACAGAGGGGCCCTGTTGCAGCCCCCCACATTCTCCTCCCAGTGGGGTCTCCAGCCCATGGGCTCAGGCCCAACCTCACACTAAGTTGGACCCCAAATCCCTCCATTTTACTCTGCAATGGAGGGCTTCCAAAGGCCCAGAACCACCAGGTGGGAGGGCTGGATCTGGAGGGTGTTGGGGACCCTCACCCTTCCCTGGCCAGGCGTCAGACCCCAGGGCAGGGTGGGTCTGTCTTGAGAGCCCCCCCTCAATTGCTCTCCCAGATGGTGCCTGGCTGCCCTACAGCCCAGCAAGGGCACCCTGGGCACACTGAACCCCATCCCGTGCCCAGCTCCAGGGAACATCCACTTGGACACACAGGTAGGGCACAAAGGTTTATTCACGTGCAGCCGTGGCCACCCGGCGCATCCCGCACAGCTCTGGGCTCCAGCGCGGGCAGCTCGACCCGCAGCTGTCTGAGGGCTCACAGGTGTCCTCCAAGCAGCCGGGGTCTGGACAGGCCCTGTGGGGCAGCGGGTGCTCCGTCCTCGGTGGTTTGTCCAGGTCAGTGCAGGGGCTGTGGCGGGAGCAGAGCCTCCAGCAGCGAGAGCAGGTCTGCAGAGAGGTCCTGGGGAGCAGACGGGAAAAGGGTGAACAGGGGTCCAGGCAGGGCTAGAGGTGTGGGGATGACAGCCCACCCCCTGGAAGGCCTCCCTGTCAGGGACAAGTAAGAGCATGACCTCCGGTCTGTCTCGACTGATGGGACCCCACAAACGAGAGGGAGGGAAGCACCAGGAAGGATGGGACAGGCTGGGGGACCCCCTTAATCCACCTCAGGGAGCAGGAGTCACCTCTCTGTTCCCTACCCTAGACAAGGCTGTTGTTACCCCAAAACCAGCTCCTGTACTGCCTCACACCAAGAGGAACCTGAGGCCATCCCAAGGGGTGTCGATCTCTGCCATGAACCAGCCCCATTCCCAGAGTCACCCCAACCCCTGCCAGCACATACCTGGGTGACTGTCCCTGCTCCCGTGAACTCCGGCAGCACCAGCCCCGCGTCCAGGAGTGGATCTGGGGGGGCCTCAGCCCCTGCGCAGTGGGGAGGGGTCAGCCAGGGGGACTTGGTGGAGGCGACAGCCCTGTGCAGCTCCAGAGAGGTCTCCACTGCAGGGATGTAGGGGGGCGACCCCCAGGTATCCATTGCGATGTGAGAGACCCCGAGCACCTCTGGGGGAGTCCCTGTTGCAGGGGTGTAGGGAGGCGACCCCCAGGTCTCCATCCCTATGCTGGGACCCTCAAATACTTCTGGGAGGGTCCCTGTCACAGGGATATAAGGGGGTGACCCCCAGGTCTCTAACCCTGTATCCGAGCCCCCAAACACCTCTGGGGGAGTCCCCGCAGCAGAGCCAAAAGGGGGCGACCCCCAAGGCTCTGTCCCCATGCCGGGAGCCCCGTGCAGCTCTGGCGGGGGGCCCGCCATGCGAGGTGACACCCAGCCCACAGTGCCGGGGGATGAAGCATCCCGGGGGTCCGTGTCCTGGCAGCACCCCAGGCCCCGGGGGCAGAGGGGGCAGTGTCGGGGGGCCGGCGCCCCCCGGCCGAGTCCCAGCAGGGCGGAGAGGTGGGCGATGTAGCGGGTGGCGAGGCGCAGGGTCTCGATCTTGGTGAGGGTCTGCCCGGCGGGCGCCAGCGCAGGTGGCAGGTAGTGCCGCAGCCGCAGCAGGGCCTGCGCCAGCCGCCGCATCCGCAGCTTCTCCCGCTCGCTGGCGCTCTGCCGCGGGACCCCCGGGCCCCCGCCGCCCCGCGCCCCCTTCCTGCCCCGGGGGCGGAGGGCGGCGTGCCCGCGGCAGGGTCCCCGGGCGGCAGCGGGGGACGCGAGGCCGCAGGAGTCGGGCGATGCTGCGGGCGAGCTGCTGCTGTAGCCCAGGGTGTCCGGGGGGCCGCGGCAGCCCCAGTCCTGCAGTGGGGCCGTAGCGGGCAGTGTGTGGCGAGGCGCTGCGGAGTGGGCCATGGCGGGGCCGGGGACAGGGAGCCGTGTGCCGGGAGCTCCCGGCTGTCCGGGCTTTATGCCGGGCCAGAGGTGTGAAGCGTCACCTTCGTGGCTGCAGCACTTCAAAGGCCGGGGGACGTGGTGGGGGGGGAACCAGGGGGCCGAGGGACGCGGCTGTGAACGCGGGGTGACAAATTTCACCCCAGAGGTGTGAGGCTGCTCTGAGCTGCCCACCCTCGGCACCTCGCACCCCCAGCGCTGGGATGGGGATGGGGCTGGGACCCACATGGGTCCTGCAGTTCTGTCCTGCACAGGGGCTGCCGCGGGACTGCAGCAGGGTGGCCGTGAGTCTGCTGGGAGTGGCTGCAGTGGGGCAGCAGCAGGATCTGCAGTGGGGTTGCAGTGGGGTGTTCTGGGGCTCTGCTGTGAGGCTCTGCTGAGACTGCAATGGAGTTTTCAGTGGCTCTGCAGTGGGGTGTCCCTATGTCCCCCCATAGCATGACCCCAGCCGGGCATCCCTGCTGTCCCAGTGGCTTTGTGGGACTCCCCTACACCCGGCTTGGGGGTCCTGGTCCGCCACTGCCCACATCAGCCAGGACCCCGCGGGCCTGCCTGGTGATGGCAGTGGTGGGGCAGCGAGTGCCGAGGGCCGGGGTCGGGGCTGGGAGGGGCCCCCCCGCCGCGTTCCCAGGCCCCACAGGTGTTAGGGCCGGCGGGTGCGAAGGTTTCCCGGGAAACGGCTCCACCGAGGGACGGAAAATCCATCAGAGGGCGAGGGACACCGGCACGGCACGGGACCCCAGACTGGGTGTGCACTGCCTGGGGATACAGCTAGGGGCACAGGACCCCACAGCTCAGGGGTTCGGAGGGGGCAGGAGACACCCACCCTCCAAAACGGGGAGACACATCTGAGAAGTGCCCAGCGCTGCCCCAATACGGTCAGAGACAGTCCGTGCCGACCCCATTCTGCACCCGTCCCGGAGTGGAGGTACAGCGGGGGTCCGGAGCAGCCTGGCCATGGAGCGTGGAAGGGGCTCTGGAGGAGCTCTGCACCCCACAGCCCAGCCTTGGCACGGCCCCTTCCCGCTACCCGGCCTCGCTTTCCCCTGCGCCCCCCCGCCCAGGCTCCCTCCTGGGTCTCATTATCTGATGAGCTCCCAGATAATGAGTTCTGCACCCGCCGCAGCCGCTTCCCACCTCCCTGTTTGGACAAGTGCTGGAGCGCGGCTGGGCCAGGGCAGCGCCGGCCGCGGGGTCACAGCCCTCGAGGGACACCCTGCAGTCCCTTGCCCTGAGGGGCAGGTGGGGCCTCCACATCCCTCCAGTCCCTATCAATGGAGCAAGGCCCTGTGGGTCCCCACATGCCTCAGCTTCTCTGGAGACGTCTGGGGCTGCATCCCGTGGGACTGGGGAGACAGAAGCAGAAGGGCAGAGCAGGATGTCTCTGGGAAGGGAGAACCCCGACCTCCCTGCCCAAACACCCTGCACTCCCTACACCCCCTGCCCCTTCAGGCCCTCCATCTAAGCCAGAGCCCACCCAGTACCCCCGGTCCCGGGGCTGGGAGCTGGGCAAAGGACAGGGAGCTGTGGGGACCCTGCTGGGTGCCAGGGCTGGCGGCTTGGGGTCCCGGCACTGGAAGGTCAAGTCCTGGATACCTGCTGCGGTGCAGGGTGACACGGTGCGGGGTGACGCGGTGCAGGGACGCGGTGCGGTGCAGTGCGCGGCTGGCGGCACGTTAGCATCTCTCACGGCCGTGTGAATGGGTCCACACACACTTCCCAGCGCCAGCAGCGCCAATTAAGGACCAAAGGAGTCAGATCTGACACTTCTGCAAATGGGGCCGGCATTCCCAGGCTCCCGCCACGGCCCGCCCGGTGCGGGGAGTTGGGGGGCTCGACCCCTCCCTGTGGGCACAGAGGCATGGCCCCTATACCCGACCCAAATAAGGCCGGGGGTACCGGCACTACCTGCCGCCTGCGCTGACACCCACCGGGCAGACCCTCACCAGGATCGAGACCCTGCGCCTCAACACCCCCTACATCACCCACCTCTCTGCCCTGCTGGGACTCGGCCGGGGGGCACCAGCCCCCCGACACTGCCCCCTCTGCCCCCGGGGCCTGGGGTGCTGCCAGGACACGGACCCCTGGGATGCTTCATCCGCCAGCATGGGGACAGAGCCCTGGGGGTCACCCCCATTTGGCTCTGCTGCAGGGATCCCCCTAGAGTTGCAGAGGACCCCCAGCTACATCACAGGGTCCTGGTCATCACCGGTGTGCAGCCTTGGAGCAGTGACTCCCCTGGAGCCTCCCCTGAGACATGCCTCAGCCACAGAGACTGGGATGGCTTCCTCCTGCTGCTTGGAGCTTCCCAAGACAGGACTGATGGATACGGGGCACCCCAGGACCCCTGCACCTGGCTCCCAGCTGCCTGCACATCACCAGGTACCCACAGCTTCTCCCCAGCCCAGCCCCTGCTACTGCAGCCCCGGGTTGTGGTGGGGGACATCCTCATGGGGTGTGAGGTGGGGGCCACGTGGTATCCCACAGCCACTCACCTCACACAGCTCTTCCCACACAGCTCAGCAGCCCCTCGACCCCAGACAGGCTTGTTTCCCCAGCCGCCCCCCTCAACCCTTCTCCTGCCCAACTGCACCCCAGAACAGCACAGCTGACCATGTACCCCTGGACAGAAACCACACAGGGACAAGAGGCACGGAAATGGGACAGTGGCTTGGCCATGGGTCGGTGGCACAGCTGTGCCACAGAGCTGTGCAGGACAGGACAGACACCGGGGTCCTCATTAGAGCTGCCATGCACCACTGCACCCCAACCCGTTACTGCTGCACCCCAGCATGGGCAGCGTTGGGGGCACCCCTCAGCCTGGCACCCCACACACAGCCAGGTGCTCCCCCAGGCCAGAAGTTCAGTGCCCCCTCCCAGGCCACTCCCAGTCTGGATGTCTCCCAGGGCTGGAGTAGCAGAGGGACCCACCATCCGAGGTGTCTCCAGCCTCACTGAGCTCCCAGCCCCCCGGGGGTCCTGTCCCTTCCCTGTGCCCAAAGACAGCTCTGTCCCTTTGGGGTCTGGGGTAGCCCCCAGGGGATAGTCCCTCCTGACTGTCACAGCCACTCCGGTGCCCCCTGCCCTGACGCCACAGAGCAGGGGGCAGGCAGAGGGGTCCTGGCGCCAGCGCAGGGGGAGTGGACACGCAGCCCCCCGAGCGGGGCCCAGCAGGAGAGCTCACACACAACCGTCAGACGGGGGGCCCGGGGGCTGGCGTCAGCAAAGCCCCCAGAGCCACTTAGCACCAGGCTCCTAATGGCCCGGGGGGCTTATGGCCTCAGCCCCTGCCCCGTATCTGCCGCAGGGTCCCTGGCACTTCCTGCCCAGCCCCTCCCAGGCCCTGCAGCGCAGCCCCCCAGCACCCAGTCCAGGAAACCGGACAAGCCTTTTATTTACACACTCTCATGGCTGCACCAGCACGACATCCCTCCCACTCTGAGTCCTCCATGACCCTACTGCCCATCAGCCAGGTGTCAGGTCCCTCACTGGCAGTGGGGGACTGGGGGCACGGGGGGCTCGGGGCCATGGCGAGCGGAGGTGGGAGTGGGCGAGGGTCTGTCCCGGTGGCTGGGGGAAGGCAGGCACCGTTATCTGATCTCGCCCTCGAACCAGCTCAGCACTGTCGCCCGGTTCTCCTTCACCCAGTCGATGTTGGCGCGGGTCCGCTCCAGCGCCTGCTCCAGCGCCCGCGTCCCCGACCCAAATCCGATGTCCTGGTTGTCTTCCTTGAACTGCTCCAGCTGCCAGACAGAGACAGGGCTGGAGCAGGGTGGGGGCAGGCCTGGCAGGCCCTGGCAGCCCCCAGCATCACCCCAGCAGCTGCCTGGCAGAACCCCAACAGCCCCTAGGAACAGCCTGATAGCAGCCAGCACCACCCCAGCAGCCCCCAACACCACTCAACATCATCCTGAGCGCCCCAGTAGCACCCTGACAGCCCTTGGGAGGCCCCAAGCACCACCTCAGCAGCCTCCAGGAGCCCTTCAAAAGCCCCCAGCACCCCATGGCAGCACCCAACAGCCTCCAGGAGCACTTCAACAACCCTTGGGAGCCCCCAGCACTACCCCGGCAGCCTTCCAGCAGCACCATGCTGGGGACAGAAGCTGCCTGGAGCCTGGGCACTTGAGGGACAGGAACCCCCTTCTCTGCTGTGGCTTGGGGTCTCCATGCCAAGGGTCCTCCCATCAGGGTCCAGCCTCACCTGCTGCAGCTCAAACTCGGAGTTAAAACGCTGGGTCACAGATAAAATCAGGCGGGAGAAGGAGAAGGAGCCGCCCCCATACCTGGGAAAGCAGAGAGGTGCTGAGTCAGGGGTCCCACTGAGCCACAGTGGAGGGGACAGGGGAAGGAACAGTGCCCCCCCCGAGGGGTGTGGGCACACAGGGATGCCCCCAGCCCCCCGCAGTTCTCACTGGCTGAAGAGAGTCTTCCAGTTGCCACGGATGAAGTCCCAGGCCAGGGGCTGCCCTACCACATTGCTGGTAATGCTGTTGATGGTGGAGGTGGCATCCTGCTTCCTGATCTTTGTGGGGTCAAGGGTGTACTCCAGGTACCTGGGAGGACACAATGTCGGGTGAGGGGCTGGCAGGGGCAGCAGGCACGATGTGGGGTGAGGGGCTGGTGGGGGCACCACCATGACATGCAATGGACACTGCACCCACCGGCTAAGGATCCAGGGGTGGGGGCTGCAGGCGAGGGCTGTGCGGAGCTTGTCAGCCTCAGACACGACGATGGCCTCCCTGAACCTCTCCCAGAGGAAATCCCACGCCTCCTCCCCGCCCGTGGCCACCATGCTGCAGTAGATGGCTGAGCGCAGGTTCGGGGGAACTCTGTTGGAGTGAGAGCCGTCAGTGCCGGGACCCCCCCGCCACGCCCAGCCCAGCCCAGCCACACACGCAGTGCCGAGGCTCGCAGGGGACTCACGGGTTGTTGGTGACGTTTTGCATCCAGTCGCTCAGGTA